ACATAAAAAGTTTTTGCCCGATAGCGCTGTTTGACTAGCACCTCTTGACATTTCTAGGATCGGTTGTTTTCAACATAAGAAGTTCCACCTCGTGAACGCATTGAATTTCGTCATTTTCTTGCTTGCTTGGTATAATTATAGTGTATCCATCACTACCTGTTGTATGAAAGTACGGTTCCTCATAGTCAAACCTACTACACTAGTCGGTAGATTTGTTATCTGGTGTGAGGAGTTTCACAGTTTGCATACTTGGATGTTCTTATTTGCAGATGCGACCTTTTCATTCTCAAGAAGTTTACACGCACAGACCAAGGCGAAGTCCAAGAAGAAAGAAGGAAGTGCAGGAAGGAACAACACATAATATCTGTTAAGTTTCCAGGTTAAACCAGCAAATTCTTAAAAAGGTTGATATGTGAAACAGTGCACATTGCCCTAGTGTGCGATCTAACAAGTGACCACAGTGACCTCATTGAACGTGGTTCTGCAGTTGCCCCCCAGACTTGTAGTGAGATGTCCAGCTGCCACGCGCTGTGAGCTGGAGTTGTGTGCACAGAACATAGATGGCGCAGCGAACAGCAATCCGCACTTGGACTGATCAGCTGACCGGGGTGACCTTGGGCGCGCTGCGCGGTATGGTTCGTTGGCTACCGCCTGTCGAAAGTCTTCAAGATTAGGGGAACCCGCGAAGAGGACAGCACGATACTTAGAACGAACTTAGTCATCTATCTGGTACTTCCTCCTGGGTTGCATTAATTATAAAGGGCATCGTATTGAGTTTTTGCCCCAATACCCTAACACAACTCTTCTTTAGCCGCGAACGAGAAACTAATGCGTGTGGACGCACAGATGTGGGGGAAAAATTGCTCCTTTCGAACGATGCAAACATCTGCTGTCCCCCGCTCGTCCAGCTCAGAAGGATCGTTAGATATCCTCATGGCTGCTCCATCCCTGCCATCAACAATGCTAGGGACCTAACCCGAAACACCATCCTGTCTTCACCCGACACACCTGCGACCTCGGAGGACTGCGGTGATGGCTGGAGCCTCCCCGACGCCCGGCAGGTGTGGCCCGAAACGCCGCCAGCCGACAACGTCGGCACCGCGCGACAGTCTGAGAAGTCCTATTTCCGTGCGTAGTTGAAAGGTGTTGGTCCACAACTCCGTGGTGCAATTGTGGTGGCAGTGAATTAACACCGTCGCACGGTGTAGGACGTGACGTCATATGTTTTGCAGTTATCAGTTCTTCAAGTCCTGTCACCTCAATAGCACCCTAAAGTCGCCGTGCGAGTGAAATGTGAGGAGAGCGCAAAATGGCCTCAGTAGCTAACGCACTTTATAATACCAATCTTCATCATCATATCGTGATAGTCAGACTGATGCCCGCTTGGCGGTTACGTCTTGGGATAGCACATTTGTCCATTGTGTGTCATTGGTTAACTTCCTGCAAAAAACGTCTTCCGAATGAATTTGTCGTTGCGTCATTTGTCGTCGCGAACGAGACCGCGGTCTGAGCGGTTTCTATCATAACGTAAGACAATTCCTGCGCATAACTCCTCACATCTGTTTTTTTCAGCATCGGGTGTGGTGCGTCCTGCCCTAACGCCACTGGAGCGGTACATGGGCGCCCTGGAGAAGAGCTGCGAGGGTCAGCACAAGGCCCGGGAGGCGCAAAGAACTCGTGGTTGCCCTGCTGACCAGCATGCCGCACGGCGGAGGGATTCCGAGACATGAAGCGGAAGCTGCTCGACGAGGAACTTGCAGATCATCCTGTTCGTCTTTGCCTGAAAAAAATTAAAATGCCTACGCGAAAAAGCCTCACTCTGCTATGGCTTTAGTTCGGTCCATACGCGTCTTACTTCCGCAACTGGTGTCGTGAAAATCCCACACGATCCTGCAAGGTGTATTTGTGCAACTAAGTTGCTTCCGCTGGCAGCCGACACCCTTTATCCGTTATTAAACTGCATGTCAGTTAACGGATGCTTGATCAACAGCGTTGAACCAAGGCTTTTGCAAGCTGCCTATCGTAAATACACGTAAATGCCTGCTTACAGGTAGTGTTACTTGCACATCGATTACGAAACCCTCAAAACTCCATCCCCGGCCTGAATGAAGACGTTTCATGGCGCCAACATGGGCATTTAACTCTGTGACTAGCGTCGATGCCATCGCACCGGCCCGCTTGTCGCGCGGATATACGCATCCACCCATTGAGCGAAGCGATGTCACGACCAACATGCATGTATAACTCTGAGGGAATTTTCTGGAGGCAGGTCACCAGGCCCATGAAAACCAATTCCAGTGGCATCGGCGCGGACCATGGTCCCGAGCCCGCACATGACCGCGGAGCGGGCGAGTTTTGAGTGGCAAAAAACAGCAGCCACCGCCTGCAAAAATCTGCAGCTGTGCGGTCCAGAAGAAGCCACCAGAATCTGAGCCGCGCCACTTTTGCCAGCTGGGCGGCGTTTAAGCGCTCTCCCGCCCCGCACGCGCCCTGGCTTGTGCATGCCGGCGATGCACTGTAATGCCGTCTTATGGCGGTCTTAATAGTTTATATGGTCTAACCATGTAGCGGTGGTTTACCCAACTCCAACGTTTCATTGTCACGTTTCGGGCCTGAGCTGGCAGAAAAGCCACCCCGGTAGAGTCGCCTATCTGTTTTGTTATGTTTTTCTCTAATTGTCGCTTCTTCACCTACAAGTGGCATTTCGACCCCAAAGATTATCAAGTACCGCTAACCTAGCTTCATGTAAAGGTCAAACTGTCCGGTTTCAAGGTGACATACCTGTCTCGACGACGTTTACTTTTCTCTTTACCTGTTCTGCCTAGATCGGCAATCTCCAACTGATATCTCACATAAAGACCGAGGGCTGCAGCGTTGCAAAGATGACTGCACCGCTTTGGTCCGCCGTTCCCATGGCAACGATCGAATGACGCAACGTCTGTGTCGGTATGAATTGCTCGTCATACTGGCGAGGAAAGGTCAACCCGACCAGAGGAAGACTCAAACAGCGATGACTCGTCAAAAGAAACCGGTACTTTCTCTTAGCCATGAATTATGACGCATTGCATCAGCATCCTTCATGGCCTTAAGCCCAGAGGCATGAGCCAGCGGACGCGAGAGGGGCATATTCACTTCGGTAGATAACGAGTTAAAGCAAACGGCCAGAAAAAAGAGTGAACATGAATTTGGGAACCGGGTAGAAGTTAGGCACACAGAGACGTGGGTGATGCACCAAGAGCGTAATCTGCCGCTTGCTTCAGGTGCCATTAACCGGATGATCGGACCACCCGTCCGGCTCCCTCCATTGTGAAAACGACGGCTTACGAGTTGAGGCCTCCCGAATTCGACTTTTACTGCACTCAGTGCGCCCGCAACCCGCCACATGCATCCTCGGCACGAACCAACACGGCCACTTTTTCGTTCTTCGCAAGCGTTGGCACATGAGGCGGGAATGCGCCCACCCATGATGCTTTCCTCAATCTGCACGATTGGATGGTGTCGTTGAGCCCGACGTTTGCTATTGGCGTAAATGACTTCCGGCGCACGGAATGGTCTCACGTGAACTGGGGGGGGGGGGGGGGGGGCGAATGCCGATCTTCAGCAGCCACCTTCATCTAAACCAGTTCTTGCCGATTATTCAAGTCACGATCCAAACTTTTCGATGCTTGCCGCGTTGTATTTTAACATTCGGTTCCGGCTCCGGCAATACATGACGATAATTGGTGAAACACATTCCACAGTAGGCAGAACACACCAGGACCTTGGCAGGACAGCAATGGTCTTCAGCTTCGCCTTTTTCATCAACGCAGTTCTAGTTCTAAATACATCCGTTCAATTCACTCGCTCACATCTTTTCACATTATATTTAGCAAATGACAACCACACGGTAGCGACCATCAAGGGCGGATTTTATCGAGTGGTTCACGTATAAAATGGATGCCGGACCAAGCTAGGTACAGATTCGGGAAAGACGTGAGCATGGGGACGGGCTGGAGGCAAGGTTTTCACGAAATGTCGGATAGATGCATGCAGACATGCCTGTACAATCCAGACATACTACTTCCAGACGTACTTGGAGACACTTGCCGCTTATAGTTCTTTCAGTCACAATTAGTGTACACCGTTTTTGCTCCGTTCACACTACTTTTGTAATCCACAACGCAAAGGAGTAAGTAATGAGCTTCCATGAAACTCCTTGATAGTTCATGACTATTTCATAGACAAATACAAACGAATGGATAGCAGGTGCGCGCAGCTGATCGGGAACGGATAGGGGATGGATATGGATGGACACGGCTAGAGGACTAGCGGAAGCAATGGGTAAGGCACTCCCGAGTACAGCAACGTCCACTACACGAACCTCCCCGTGCACAACTCCTCAAGCAAGTACCAACAACAGCTACAGAACTAACGGAAGCAATGGGTAAAGGTACCCCTGAGAGCAGTGACGTCCGCTGCACGAATCTGCCCGGCACAACTCCCCAAGCAAGTACCAACAAAGCGTGCAGTAGCAAAACACCCCTGTGACAGCACACCACGACCAATAGCGATCACTAGCAGAGCTGAGCCTGAGCCGGACAGAGCCAGCCAGGGCTCGCCCCTTATAAGCCGTCGTCTGCGGCGCTGGTGGCGCCACCTGCAAACGGGCACCGCTCCCTCGGCGCTGGCAATGTACAGCTCGTTGTCTACCAGGTTCTCTGTGGACAGAAGCTCCTCCCAGAGCAAGGGCTGCTGTGGTGGTGACGGTGGTGGTGGGTGGGACCTCATCGGGAGCCCTTGTTGATACGGGACCCTCTGGGCGCGCCGTATCAGCTGGCGGAAGTTGGAAGAGATCCTCCTTAATCTCCTCGTACATCGCATCATCAAACTCTGAGTCACCGGCGCCACTTGCTTGCACGTTTTGGCCCGCCTATCCTGTCACTGTCTGCCCCATTCCGAGGTCCCCCTGCAGGTGAGACGCAGGACGCGGCCAGCACGAGGCGGCTCCTGCGACGTCGGACGATCAGCACGGCCGCCAGCGCCACGGCCAGCACCAGCAGGACCCCGAGCCCGCCGAAGAGCGCCAGCCGGTGCTGGCTGTCCAACTGTCCGGGTCCATGACCGGCGCTGGCGGCTCCGGGACAGCGAGGGTCGCCGCTGGCGGGAGACGTCGCGGCGTCGGCGTCGGCGAGACACCTGCTCTGGAGCTGCCAAAGCACCTGGCTGAGCGGCTCAGGATGTGCTCGCGGACACCAAGCGACGTGTCTGCTTCCTCGCCGGACACGCGGGGCGGAAAACGCACGTCGAGGCCGCTCAAGCAGACCAGCGTGCCCTCAGAGAACGTCAGTGACCCGCGGAAAGCGTTATGGAATCAGAAGGTCCCTTATGATTAGTGGCTGGTCAGCACCCACGGTGCTTTTGCTTACACGGAGACCAATCAGACCGCGGGCTTGAGGTGGTTGATAGTGTTATTCGCGAGCTCGATCGAACCGCTAGCGTTCACGCTCAGTCCGTTGGAAGAAAGCGTCCCAAAACGTGAGTTACTGATCTTCAGCCAAGTGACATTCACGTGAATAGCGTTTTCTGGCAGCTTTGTGAAGTTGGTGTCGCTGATGATCATTTCTGAATGTTACCAGAGAGGGCGAAAGGCGCAGTGTCAGAGAAGAGCACCGAAGGAATAGTCAGCTTTGCCCATCCATCCGAGCCATCCAAACATCCTTTATCGGCGGCATCTACTGTCATATTGGACAGTTCCAGATGGTGAATACTCCCAGCGAAGAGCTTTTCTTCGCAGCTTATTCTCCCGCCCGTCATGAGCAGATGACGGACTGCTGATGTGAACACTTGTGGTGCCGTCAAACAGCCGGACGCGAAATCAGGGCCATGTCGGGTCCCAAAGAGCTGGAAGTGTATGTGAAGGCGTTTGGCGAGGCAATGCACTTTTGAATGTCTTCAAAGGTAATTGTAGTGTTTTGTGACCAGAAGCCAGATAGACCTGAGCTTTCTATACGTAATTTTTTCACAAAGCGAATTCCCAAGGTGCGCATGCTGTTAGATTCTTGAAGCCTCATGCCTTCGTACCGTATGGTGACATTTTCTACTTCTGTAATCGTGACAGCCTTCAATGACGTCAACTGTTCCAAGGCGAGACTCTGGATTTTAACAGCTGACGAGTTTGAAATCTGGATGTTTTGAACAGTCGGTGGTATCTCGTTCTTGATTAGGGGGGATCTGAAACAAAATACGTTTCATGCAGCATTATCAAGTGTAGCACTATTGCGTCCAACCCACAGGCCCGGTCATCTGGCTGTAGTTTCTCACCCGATGACGAAGTTATGACACTTAGAACTGACACTATGACACTTAAGAAGCTATGACACTTAGGCTTTCGGCAGCCAGGGCAGCCAGCAGTATAAAAAGCGTCCGTTGTCTGGTCCGAGGTCTATTTCCAACTATCATTATTGGTTTGGTTTTGTTTAGCTTTCATTTTTAATTTGATGGTATCCTTCCTTTCTTTAGTGTTCAAAAGTCCTAGGCGCATTGCCCCGTTGTCTTGGAACCCATTTCGTGTAAATGTATAATGACCTGGCATGCTTTTCATGTCATTCCCTGGTGCGCTTTAGAGTCCATGAAAGCAGCTGGTTGAAAAGCAGGTGCACAACAGACGTTCTCAGCCGCTCATTGACTTTTTTGTTTCTTCTTCACACACCTTTTTTTCTCCACTTGTCGCGTTCAGTTTCAACAGGCGGTGCAAATGTGGGAGAGCCTTGGAATTATTGCAATCAGTTGTTGCCTAATATCATATATACAGCTACACAAAAATATCCCACCTACGCCTGTCGCCCACAGGTGTGTAAGAAATGAATTATTATTAAAAACAAATGGTGACAATGAATTAATATTAAATAAATGATTAAATGAGTTATTATTGAAATAGATTATTAAAATGAATTATTATTTAAATACATGATAAAATACTGACCGCTTTTTGGCATCAAACGTTAGTAGCCACACTTCCGTGTCCAGTTGGCCGCTGACCAATAGCTGCACATAACCAACCCGTTAGCCGGGTGTCGTCACGCTTGGGGCGGGCAGCGCGCGTTGTGTCAGCCTGGCCGGGCGGGTCATACGCAGCTGTTAGCATCCACCCCGTTCGAGCTCAGGTGCTTGGAAAGAGCACGTCATTCAAACCATGCGTGGTCTCTGGTCCACCAGAAGCTGAAACAATGTATGTCCTCATGGCTTCACCAGTAATGTACCAACAGTAAATGTGACTTGAAACTCCCTTCAAAAGTTGCTGTCGTCGCCTAACGAATCAACCGCTGCATCAGCTAGTCCTGGGGATCGCGAGGCTATTCCACTCTCTGTGATTGGCTTAGCCCACCAGTCCCCGGTCATCGTACGATATCGTATACGTTTCTCATTGGTTGATAATGGCGCAATGTCCACACTGTTTCTGTACCACGTGTTCATGACCGTTTACGTCTGAAAGCAGTATATAAGGCGAGCGGCCTGTTACCGTGCATATTCATTAGATGTAGGAATACGCTGAAGCACAAGGCTGCTGTTGGCGGTACGTGTCGACTCGTTGGTGTTGAATGGGTGTTAGTGAATGGTGTTGAATGGGTGTTGAATAGGTGTTAGTGATGGTAAGATACTGCTCAGTAGAAGCCTTGGACTTAAGGATTGTCTTTGCCCGACTTGCAAGAAGGACTTGCACGACCCAAGTCATCACCAACATAATTATCAGACAAACATTTAACAATTTTCTACATGCATATCTTGGCTGTAGCGAAAAAGCATGCGCCAGAAGACAAGCTTTTCATGCAAGGTCAAGTGAAATTCGTTCTCCCCAAATGCTATGCATCAAGGTGAACATCAAATGCCAGTGAACTATGCCTATGAACCTCAAAATTTGATACAAGTGATATGCATGCACACCAGCCCGCCTCATGAATTTGATGCATCTAGCTCTCTTAGTTTTTGAGGTCTCAGAATGGTCAAATTCATCCCCACCCGAGGGAAAGGCATAGTGTAAGGGCACTGAGCCTGGATCGCTATGATTTAGCTCAAATCCACCAGTAATTGTCAACATGGTAATTACCACGGTGCACCTCGTTTCCCGACACATTCACAACTATAACGCCAAGATCTGCGAAGTTCAAGGTCGTTACACCCTAACCTCCACGATGTTTCTCAAACTCATGTCAGTGGTGGTGTTAAACATTATTATAATGCTGCACATCGTTTTCCGCCACACTAAAAATATGATCAATAAATGCATTCAAAGTGAAAAGTCACTCAACCAGGACCCTTACGATTCATCTAAAGCTGGTGCCATTGGTTAAGTTTGATATGCTGAATACGACGGCGCAATTTGGTTGGAGTCGAGTTAAAAAGTATGGCTTCAACAGGTCCTCAAGAGTCGATATCATTGAACTCGCGCTCTTCATAATCTTGTCCCATCTCTCATCATAATCAGTTCTCAGCATGTAAGCATAGTGGTAGCATGTCCAACACTACTAGTGGCATTCATATGAGCCAAATCACATAAATCCGGTTTCATTTATATAAAATCTCAATGAGATCTCTGGATCACAGCTTAAGACATAACAGTTAACGACATGCACCATTATAGTCGCTATGACCTTGAATTTTGGACATCTGTTGAGGTCATAGCTTTGAATGAGGTGGTACATGAAGTGAGCCATCATCGCCAGCATGTCGAACGCTACTAGAGTTATCAAATGGAGCAGTACCACATAGGCGCGTCTTCGCTGATCTTGAACTTCGATGACTTTTAGAGGTCATAGTTTTTAATATGGCTGTTCACGACATGCACCAGCGTGATTAGCACGTGTATCATAGTGGTATGCGTTTAAAGGGAGTGCTTCACATTAGATTGATTTGAAATAGCTGTTTTGAAGACCTTTCGGTGCTGTTCACAATTCTGTCCTAAAGACCTAAGCCCTCCAAGTTTCTGAGCTATATGCCCGCGAAAATCGGGGAGAGTATTTCAAAGTCACCTTGTCATTCATGGGGTTATAATACTGCCATTTAAATCCTGCCATTTCATAAGCTATGCGGTGATCGAAGCCAAGAAGTATACCATTTTCAAGGCGTTGATATGCAGCGCTCGTGAGTGCGATTTCCAAATAAAACGGCCGCCAACTGGCTGTCAGTTAATGTTGTGCAAGATAGGATGAACTTATGAAATAATGACGCATTGAGGAGCGTTTTCGCTAACAGAGAATTGTACCGGCTGAAGCAGATTTTTCCACTCAAAAATTATACCGATAGTTAGAACTCAACTTGTTTCGTGATATCTGGTGCTTACTTCAATATCTTCAAATGTGAAACATGTCTTTTAAGTAAAAATATCTGGGTCAGTTTCGAAGGTAACTTGAGTGTGGTTGCGGGCATTGCGCTGTCGTGACAGATATTTGTGCAATTTACGCATTTTGACATGCCATTAAACAACACAACCTATTGCTATGTGGATTTTAAGGACTGCTGAACAGAACGCTTGCATAAAAAGGCTCCTTGCCTGGAAGCAATCGCTGTCATGGCTTAGAGAGCCACCAGCTTTTAATTTGACGGGAGGGGAAATGCGCAGTTATTTTCCCATGTAGGTTGCTGGTGATGCGATATCAAGAAAATTATTTTAGCCCAAACCACAAAGACGTCTCTGCATAAACGGGGGCGGGGCGCTGAGCCTCACCCCGTGCTGACTTCAGTATTCCATCACCCCCCCCCCTCCACCTTTTCTATGGCTTCTCTGAGCTAGGTGTTACACCCTAAAGTTTGTTAATCATTGGTACGCTGGGTAGCTGTACAAGCCACCGGCAGCCTCATGTTCGTTTTGTATCAGATAGCTTCCTACAGGCTGTAGGTACCTAATGCTTTTGTTCTTCATATGTTACGGAAGTGTGCGTTTGAGAAGTTTTTAAGATGATCCACCTGGATTGGGATAACAAACAATTTACTTCATTATGCAGCAGCTTCAAAAAGCGGGGTGAGCCTGATAAATGGTTTATACATGTTTCCCCAACATTGGCAAGTGTACTGGCGCACAGTTGTGGCTGTGGCGGTATCTGAATACAATTTGAATGGTAATGCACAGTCAATAGCAGCGGTAGCCATCAGCAATACCTCAGCAAGATTTACTGAGATGTCTCGCAGTAAATTACACCCCATTCCAAGCTGTCACAAACAGTATATAGTTGTCATGTCTATAGTTGGCCTTACCTGCTTTAAGGAGGGACACTGGCAGCTGACAGAGGTGGCTCCATTGCAAGCGGGGGTGAATTTGCAGCATGGAATTTCGCACATAGCGAATGGTTTGCCGCACCGAACGCCGGTGAGCAGCACCGACAGGTGAACCAATGCCGGCAGAAGCACCCCGCTGCCTGCAACCAACATGACCGCAACAGCTGTGGTATCCGGGACGCTAGAGCTGTCCACCGACTGGTGAGTGCCCCTTTCCTGATGTCGACCGACTGGTGATGCCGGCTGTCAGCGCCCGCTGACTGGTGATGCTGACTATTGGAGTCCGCCGACTGGTGATGCTAGCTATTGGCGTCCGCCGACTGGTGATGCTGGCTATTGGCGTCCGCCGACTGGTGATGCTGGCTATCGGTGCCCGCCAGCTGGTAATGCTCACTACTAGCTTCCGCCGACTGGTGACGATGAGTCCTGGCGTGCACCGTCTGGCGCCTCTCCGAATGCCTGGTGACTGCTGACCAGAGCTCTCTTGACGTCCGCTGATGGATGACCTGGACCCCCAGCTCTCCACCAGCTGTTACCAACCCTGCCGTGCACCGTCCGGTGGGGTGGCGGCCGTCTGGCCGGTCCGGCACCGAGACTGTACCTCACTGCCGACTCTCAGCCGGGTGGGGCGGACGCCAGACCACAGGACGTGCGATAGGTGGTCAGACGCCATCCGGGACGAAACCACGGCACTGGGCAGAAGGGGAAGGGGAGGGGGAGGAGATGCGTCCTCCCGTGGGGTCCGGACTAATGCAGAGGCGGGCGGGTGGGGGGTAAAGAACAAGAGCAGGGCGCAGGATGTGGCGGCCGGAGAAGTAAAAGGGTGCCAAGAGGCGAATCTGAGTTAGAGAGAATGGTGAGATAGCCAAGAAGAGCTATACCGAGGCATGCCTCAGGATACATGAGCTCTGGCTCCTCGGGTAATGCCTCTGGCTCATCGAGTAATGCCTCTGGCCGCTCGGGTGATGTTTCTGAGCTGCGATGGAACATCTCACGGATCAGAAAATCAGTTGCGTGACGCGGTTTGAGATTTGAGGTTTGAGCTGCTGAGCCGCCACCATACCGAGCCGCTCCAGGCCCGCTCGGTGGCCGTGTCGCCACGCCTGATATCCGCCAGCATCGTCGCTGCTCCAGCTCCGTTCGGCAGCCGGCTGCGCGGACACCCTATCGGTCACTTCCGCCGTCGTCTGACGTGGCGGCGCCGGAGACCAAGCTTTGCCGAGACCTCGCTGGGGTTAGACCTCCACTGGCTCACGAACGGGTCCAGTGGAGCGTCACAGGGTGTCACAGGGTGTCGACTCGGCGGTGCTGCGGCGCCAGACACCAAGCTTAGCTGAGACCTCGCTGGGGTTAGACCTCCACTGGCTCACGAACGGGTCCAGTGGAGCGTCACAGGGTGTCACAGGGTGTCGACTCGGCGGTGCTGCGGCGCCAGACACCAAGCTTAGCTGAGACCTCGCTGGGGTTAGACCTCCACTGGCTCACGAACGGGTCCAGTGGAGCGTCACAGGGTGTCACAGGGTGTCGACTCGGCGGTGCTGCGGCGCCAGACACCAAGCTTAGCTGAGACCTCGCTGGGGTTAGACCTCCACTGGCTCACGAACGGGTCCAGTGGAGCGTCACAGGGTGTCACAGGGTGTCGACTCGGCGACGCGGCAGCGCCAGTGAACGCTGTTTTAAATCTCTGAACGTATTAAGATGTGCTCCGCGCACATCGTATGGCGGGGATCGGAGCACGCTTTTGCTGCTGTATCGGGCAGTCATACGCTCGAAGCTGGACTATGCATTATGCATTGCATTTATTTATGACATGCATTTGCATTTGCATTGCATTTATATATGCATTTATTTATGACAGCGCGCGTGAATCCACGAAACGCATCATTAACACCATCCACCACACCGCTTTACGTGCCACCACAGAGGCGTTCCGTACATCTCCTACCCCAAGCCTCCTGGTAGAATCTCACGAGCCGCCGCCGTCAGCGAGGAGGAAAATGCTCGGCATGCGTTATGCACTTAAGCTGCGACAGTTCCCGTGACATCCCGCATATCACGCAGTTTTTCCGCGGCCTGCTGCGGCTTTTGTTCGTCATGCACCTTGGGCGCATGCTGTGACCTTTGGCTCCCGGATACAAGCCTTGCTGCAGGAAAACGAAATTCCCATTTGAAGGGTGAAGCGATCAGGTCATCTGGGCACTCCTCCTTGGCATTTGATCTCACCCTTCACAGACACATCTCTGACTAAAATAAAATAAATGTATCACTGCCAGATATAATGAGATCCAGAGCGCTTGAGCGTATAGCGTTATATGAGGGCCACACAGATACTTACACGGACGGCTCTAAAACTTCTGATGGTGTAGGCTGCGCGTTTGTGAGCGGTGGCGTCATCCGGTCGTTTTCACTGCCCCCAAACGCTTCGGTGTTCACATCGGAACTCATAGCAATCACTAAGGCACTATGTTTCATTGAAGCAGGTGACGAACCTTTACATCTCATTTTGACGGACTCTGATCAGCGTTTTGAGTATAAAGTATTTTTATCCATCACGTCACCTTATACAGAACACTACGCAGCCAGGCATGCACTGGTATTGGAGATCAGCGACATGCTATGTTTTTTTACGCGAAGAAACCCGCGACACCCCCTCTTGACAGGTATATCTTAATTTTTTTGCAAAATATTGTTACGTGGAAGCTGGCACCATTGTACGACAATATTTGACGATGCGAAGGAAGAGCAAGCAGAGTCAAAAGTCGCCATATTTTGTGCCATTCTTTGATGGACTTGCGAGGCGGCGTTGAAAATGCAATGGTCGCTTTCTTCAGATCGACAAGCTGGAAAGCTGTTTTGATGGTCCCAATGCATTGGTCAAGTAAGCGCACGCCCACACTTTTCATCTTGACATGTCAGCTAGGCATACATCACTACGCATTGAACTCGAGCGCAGATATATCCGCTTTTCTCATCCTCGCAGCATGTGCTACCAGATACACATCATGATGTGGCAACCACGTCAGCAGAAGATACCTCTACTACTACCGCGCCAATTGCCTGCCAATGTCGTCGTCATAGGAGTGTTCTAAAATCTCTACTCAGGAGTGTTCTAAAATCGGCTGGAGGGGCTTAGCTGACAGGGTTGACAAAATTTACCAACAAAACCCGATTTCTCCTCGGGTTTCAGCCGCTGTAAGTTGTGCCCCGGCGTTTTTGTGAAATGTCCTTTATCTTTTATTGAACCAAAAACTATATTGCCAGGGAGAAATCAACGTACTGCACTTTGCAATTTCACTTGCCCATCGCATTGTTCTGCACTTTGCAATCGCACTTGCCCATCGCATTGTACTGCGCTTTGCAATTGTACTTGTCCATCGCATTGTACTGCGCTTGCAATTGTACTTGTCCATCGCATTGTACTGCGCTTTGCAATCGTACTTGTCCATCACATGGTACTGCGCTTTGAAATTGCACTTGTCCATCGCATTGTACTGCGCTTTGCAGTTGCACTTGTCCATCGCATTGTACTGCGCTTTGCAGTTGCACTTGTCCATCGCATTGTACTGCGCTTTGCAATCGTACTTGTCCATCGCATTGTACTGCGCTTGCAATTGTACTTGTCCATCGCATTGTACTGCGCTTGCAATTGTACTTGTCCATCGCATTGTACTGCGCTTGCAATTGTGCTTGTCCATCACATTGTACTGCGCTTGCAATTGTACTTGTCCATCGCATTGTACTGCGCTTGCAATTGTACTTGTCCATCGCATTGTACTGCGCTTTGCAATCGTACTTGTCCATCACATGGTACTGCGCTTTGAAATTGCACTTGTCCATCGCATTGTACTGCGCTTTGCAATCGTACTTGTCCATCGCATTGTACTGCGCTTGCAATTGTACTTGTCCATCGCATTGTACTGCGCTTTGCAGTTGCACTTGTCCATCGCATTGTACTGCGCTTGCAATTGTACTTGTCCATCACATTGTACTGCGCTTGCAATTGTACTTGTCCATCGCATTGTACTGCGCTTTGCAATCGTACTTGTCCATCACATGGTACTGCGCTTTGCAGTTGCACTTGTCCATCGCATTGTACTGCGCTTTGCAGTTGCACTTGTCCATCGCATTGTACTGCGCTTGCAATTGTACTTGTCCATCGCATTGTACTGCGCTTTGCAATCGTACTTGTCCATCACATGGTACTGCGCTTTGAAATTGCACTTGTCCATCGCATTGTACTGCGCTTTGCAATCGTACTTGTCCATCGCATTGTACTGCGCTTGCAATTGTACTTGTCCATCGCATTGTACTGCGCTTTGCAGTTGCACTTGTCCATCGCATTGTACTGCGCTTGCAATTGTACTTGTCCATCACATTGTACTGCGCTTGCAATTGTACTTGTCCATCGCATTGTACTGCGCTTTGCAATCGTACTTGTCCATCACATGGTACTGCGCTTTGCAGTTGCACTTGTCCATCGCATTGTACTGCGCTTTGCAGTTGCACTTGTCCATCGCATTGTACTGCGCTTGCAATTGTACTTGTCCATCGCATTGTACTGCGCTTTGCAATCGTACTTGTCCATCACATGGTACTGCGCTTTGAAATTGCACTTGTCCATCGCATTGTACTGCGCTTTGCAGTTGCACTTGTCCATCGCATTGTACTGCGCTTTGCAGTTGCACTTGTCCATCGCATTGTACTGCGCTTGCAATTGTACTTGTCCATCGCATTGTACTGCGCTTGCAATTGTACTTGTCCATCGCATTGTACTGCGCTTTGCAGTTGCACTTGTCCATCGCATTGTACTGCGCTTTGCAATCGTACTTGTCCATCGCATTGTACTGCGCTTTGCAATCGTACTTGTCCATCACATGGTACTGCGCTTTGAAATTGCACTTGTCCATCGCATTGTACTGCGCTTTGCAATTGCGCTTGTCCATCACATTGTACCGCGCTTTGCAATTGCACTTGCCCATCGCGTTGTCTTGCACTTGCACTTGCCCCTCGCATTGTACTGCGCTTTGCAATTGTACTTGCCCATCGCATTGCGGTGTGCTCGCATTTGCATCCCCACTGCAACCCAATGCTATACTGCAATTGTATGAGAAGCTTGGCGTTCGTTGTTCACAGCAAATATATGTACGTAAAACGGACTAATGTGATCGACGAAACGGGTACCGTTTATCGGTCACCGAATCTGGTCCGAGGGGCAAAACGACGGTTTTCTTCAGAATAGCGGGGCCTGGCATCTGCGAACGAGAAGCCACAAGCAATATTTTTACACTGACAGTAAGTACGCTTTTTATAGGTTTATTCCGACTGGTTTGCATGCGTGGATTTTGGGCCCCAGGCGCATGCTAAACACAGGTTTTTGGGCCCCAGGTACATCCTAAACATAGGTTTTTGCGTGTACCCGGAACCCACCACCAAAACCGTGCCATCTAATTCATCGGATAATTTTGTCTGCGCCACTGCGCCGGACATGACCTCTGAGGGAAGTGCTGACCTCTGAGAGGAGTGCTGACCTCTGAGAGGAGTGATGACCTCTGAGAGGAGTGATGACCTCTGAGGGGAGTGCTGACCTCTGAGGGGAGTGCTGACCTCTGAGGGGAGTGATGACCTCTGAGGGGAGTGCTGACCTCTGAGAGGAGCGATGACCTCTGAGGGGAGTGCTGACCTCTGAGAGGAGTGATGACCTCTGAGGGGAGTGATGACCTCTGAGGGGAGTGCTGACCTCTGAGAGGAGTGATGACCTCTGAGGGGATTGATGACCTCTGAGGGGAGTGCTGACCTCTGAGAGGAGCGATGACCTCTGAGAGGAGTGATGACCTCTGAGGGGAGTGCTGACCTCTGAGAGGAGTGATGACCTCTGAGGGGAGTGATGACCTCTGAGGGGAGTGCTGACCTCTGAGAGGAGTGATGACCTCTGAGGGGAGTGATGACCTCTGAGGGGAGTGATGACCTCTGAGGGGAGTGCTGACCTCTGAGGGGAGTGCTGACCTCTGAGAGGAGTGATGACCTCTGAGGGGAATGATGACCTCTGAGGGGAGTGATGACCTCTGAGGGGAGTGATGACCTCTGAGAGGAGTGCGTGCCGCACAGTGCTGCGGCACGACCGCCCCAGGCTCGGGTTGACCCTCGTTGGCCAGTTGCCAGCTGACCTTTCCATTTCAGACGGGCCAAACAATGCGACAGGTTTGGAACTCGTACCCAGTGCCGCTGTATTGCAAGTCCAGCACCATTCCCTCGGACCCACATTCTTTGTCCGTCTTGCCTAGCTACTCAAAGATTTCACGAAACTCTCAAGTACAAGTTCTCACCAAAGAAAGTTCTATTTGACTGCCAACAATGGCAGCAAAGTACGTATCATGCGTCTCTCAGTCCGTATAGATTTGTGATATGGCGACCGAGTTAAATGTGTGGCCATGCAGATGTACATTCTCAGCACCACACTAGTACCTATTGCTTATGGGGCGGGGCAGGGGAAAGACTCATGGACCATGAAACTCTGAAATGGTGGTGGAAAATATCATGGCAAGGGCTCACCTTATTCCGCGTTGGAGTGTTGAAAGAATGACAGCAGCTCTACCTTAACAATCATAAGATAGAAAGTAGTGCATGTCAGGTGGGCAGACTTATCTGATCGTGATGTTGGCTGGCGCATTTCCAGCAGCATGGCAAGGAGTACTCCATCATATCGCTCCCTTCAAGAGCGGGTTTTTTTCTGGCGCATCCTTTTGTTTCTGTGACGTTGGAAACCTGGGGATTATTGAAGTCCATTTGTTGCCCCAATTCAAATGCTATGCTATGAAAGAACTAACTGCATTTGCAAGCTGGTATATCATATAACGGAGTTGGCAGCATAGCGAAGAAAGATATGCCCTTTTCACGCTTGAGCATTATTAGACAGGGATCTAATTCGGCACCAAATCTGAAATGCACGACAATCGGGATAAAAGGGGAACGAAGCCATGTTTTGTCGTTGGACTGTGAAATAAGACGGTAAATGTTGCCATTTTTCATTTTTCTCCGACATGAATGGGGGGCTAAAAAGATGCAAACAATAACAATAGGGGGGGGGGGGGGTAGGGAACCAAACCAGTATTGGAAACTAACGCCCCTCTAAAAGTATATAAAGTGACACACCTGGGCAATGTCATAACAAGGACAAACCAGTTTTATGTCTGATGCCGGTCTGCCATCGTGTTGATATGGCAACGAGGCGATACACCTGCGTAAACACAGATGTGCTTGACTGGGGACCGGTCGGCAGTTTCGCTCAGGCTGTCGGAGCATCGCTGCCGTGTTCTCACTCGGCCAGATCCGGACATCAGGCCGCAGCACTGAGCTGCCTCCATCGCTGCCGTGCCCACACTCGGCCAGATTCGGACATCAGGCTGCAGCACTGAGCTGCCTCTATCGCTGTCGTGTTCTCACTCAGCCAGATCCGGACATCAGGCTGCAGCACTGAGCTGCTTCCATCGCAACCGTGTCCACGCTCGGCCAGATCCGGACATCAGGCTGCGGCACTGAGCTGCCTCCACCGCTGCCGTGTTCTCACTCGGCCAGATCCGGACATCAGGCTGCAGCACTGAGCTGCCTCCATCGCGACCGTGTCCACGCTCGGCCAGATCCGGACATCAGGCTGCAGCACCGAGCTGCCTCCATCGCGGCACTAGGTCAGGTCCAGGCATCAGGCTGCAGCACTGAGCTGCCTCCATCGCTGTCGTGCCCACATTCGGCCAGCTCTGGACATCAGGCTGCAGCGCTGAGTTCCTATCTTCGTTCCCTTTTCTGTCTCCATTCTCGCTCCTTCTTCCCCTCCCTTCCTAAACCCCTCTGACTTCCCCACTGTTCTCTGTTGACCCTTCGACTTGCTCTCGTTCCCTCTATCACTACCTCCACTTTTCTCCACATCGCTCCCTTCATTGCTCTCCCCCACGTTTCCTCCCCTGCTCCGCCATCTCCGCTGGCTTAGCCACCCCCTGAACCATTCCTTCCACTGCTCCCTTCCCTGTTTACTGATCAAGTCACGCCTGTACCGAGCCTTGTTCACTGCTCGCTATGTGCAAGAGCCACATAGCGGGCAGTGAACGGAATTCACTGCCGCAACCGGGGGCCTCGCCCCGCCCAGCGCCAGCCACCTCGCCTGCGCCAATGCCAACCCCAGTGTCATGTGAGCAGCTGGCCCCGCTGCTGCTCTGTGCCAGCAGCGCGGCGGCGCTGCTCGTGTCTTACGCGCTGGCCGTACCGCGCGGTCACGTGACTGTGGTGCTGCCCAGCCTTGGGGAGCTCAGCTGGTGCTGGCCAGAGTCGACCGCCTGCAGTGCCTTTCTCGCCGTGACCGCCATGGCCCAGACGTTGACCTCGGCGCTGCTGTTCCGCCGGCGCCGCTGCCAGCGCCAGCAAGGCTACTGGGCGGCGTTCATCTGGGTGGAGCTCGTCATGGGCCTGGTGGCAGCGGGCTTCTACGTCTTCGTCGCCTGCGTCTCGTTCGTCGACGCACCCTTCCTCCAATGGTTCGTGACATCGAGCGCTCAGTTCTTCGCCAAGTTGGCGGCCGTGATGGTGTTTTGGCAGACGTCGGCGAAGAAGCGGCTGCTGACGGCTGTGCGCAGGCTGCTGATTTTCACGCATCTCTTCTTTACCGGCTGCATGGGTGTCGCTTGGTGTCTGGTGTCGAAGGCGCACCACGAGCAAGTGGTAGCCAGCCTCCGGCTCTGCACTCCGGCAGGTGAGGAGGACGAGCAGAGTGGTAGCCAGCCTCCGGCTCTGCACTCCAGCAGGTGAGGAGGACGAACAGAGTGGTAGCCAGCGTCCGGCTCTGCACTCCGGCAGGTGAGGACGAACAGAGAGGTAGCCAGCCTCCGGCTCTGCACTCCGGCAGCTGAGGAGGACGAACAGAGAGGTAACCAGCCTCCGGCTCTGCACCCCGGCAGGTGAGCACGAACAGATAGGTAGACGGCAGCGCTCTCAGTGCGCTAACCGCAACTCTCAGCGTGCGTCGGTGATGGAAAGGAGAGCTAACGACTGTTTGACGGTCAGAATTTTTCAATCTGCGCCAAGTAATCGGGTAGCAAACGTATTCCCATCAGGTCCTCATTTCCCATGGAGCAAATTGACGACCGGTATATCTGCAAATCATGCTCACGAACGCCAGATATGAACGACTGGACAATCGTGTGTTTTTTGTTTACCTTGGCCGGTGCAATGCTAAGGGAATGGCAGGACTTCAATGACGTTATTATGGCGTCATGGGCGCCTGGGTAACCTTGAAATAGTCTCCCACAAACAGTCTGCATATCTTCGTGAGAATACAACTCAGAAAATAGAAGGGCCTAGATCTTACGAAGGACAGGGCTGTGAACTGCACCGAATGATCTTCAAGATGGCTATTTCAATTCGAAACCCCACACAGATGTAGAACACTCCCTTTAATCCATTAGCGCGCAAATAACATCAGTTATGATCATTCACTTAAGCATAAAGAATAAAGTCTTCACCAAATCAA